GTGTGTGTGTGTGTGTGTGTGTGTGTGTGTGTGTGTGTGTGTGTGTGTGTGTGTGGATGGTGGTGATACGGGTAGAGGAACAAAGATGGCTCTTGTTGGACTCTTCAGTTGATTAATCAGAGGAGAAATATAAAAATCAGAGCAGGATGAATGTGAGCACTGTTTAAAGTTAATGTGTGTGTGTGTGTGTGTGGGGGGGGGGTGCTGAGCTCATTGATTTGTCTTACAGCAGTGTTTCTGCTCATTATGTTCAGAAAGTTACCAAAAAAAAACTAATTTTACAAACAAAACGTTAGCTAACGCTAGAGCTGAAACAAAAGACTGAAACAGCCTTTAAATATTTTATCTAATGGTTAAAAAGTTTCATTTACCCAATCTGCTTCTGTTCCAACTCCAGAGTTCAGCAGGTAAAACCTCAAAGTTTCTAGATATTAACCTCTAAGTAAGGACTTGACGAGGTTTGGGTGCTARATGTTACACAGCTGCTGTGTTTAAGGCTTAAAATCTGGTGGAAACACATTTTAGGTGAGATGTCAGCAACACATCCAAAACAAACCCGTACGGTAAGTTTGGTTTGGTTATTTTACCAACCAAGGCACCTATACGCTCATATAAAAACCAAAGCAGTGCCTATAAACTCCAATAAGAGCGAGCTGCTTTTATATTCAGCCGTAAAGAGAAAACTCTGTGCGAGTCTTTTAAGAGTTTTAAAAATACTCATCCAGTCAAAGCTATGCAAAGATGCAATCCAATCAGAGAAGAAAATAGAAGAGACTCCGTATAATTTTGGTTGTAACCACAGTGGAGGGGGAAAAAAATAAAAATGTACGACTCTGCCAGAAATTATTTATTTGAAAAGAAAAGGCCTATTTTTCCTGAACAAAACCCAGCTATTTGGGAGAGGCGAGGGGGGGTCGCAGGGCGTTGGCCACTTGGTTAGAGTGCCCTGTGTTTACGGGACACACCAGGAATGTCAAACAGCCATATTTATGTGTGTGTGTGTCTCTGTGTGTGTGTGTGTGCCATGTGCACGTGTCGAAAGGTTGTTGTTTCTCATGAGCTGCACGATATCAGTTTCTAGTTCTGATCTCAGACTGATGGGAACAAGTTTTTTTGGGTCTGAGATGGTCAGATATCAGGTTATTGTTCGGTTCCAGCGTCCTGCTGCCAAGTCGACAGACTGAATCACACCAGGAGATAAGGAGAGGAGGAGCAGGCAGACAAATTTATCTACAAAATACCTTCCACCCCCTCCACCACCCTGTAGATGTCTGACAACTCACTGCTGCTGCACATCTGGGAACCAATCATCTTTTATTCAACTATTGCTTTGAATAATTAACAGCTCATCAGTTACAACAACAGGAAACTTTATATTCAAACTAAAAAAGGGACAGAATTTTTTTATTATAATTAGAATTAACTGGTTCAAATTCTGGAGCCAGAACCCAGCCTGGTTGTCAATCAAGTGCATGAAAACACAATAAAAGAACAATAATATAAGTGTAATTTAGCTTCTGATTTTAAATCTATTTCAATTAAGTTAAATTTTAAAAATCCCTTTTTTAAACTCTTTTTGCGTGGGGGCTTATTGGTGGGTCGGAGTTGAACAACCCTGATGTAATGAGTTGCTGATTTTATTTTAGCTCAAGTGTTGCTACTTTTACCTTTAAACTAATGAGTTGCAATTTTAGCTTTTAGCTACAGTTTGGCTAGTTTTGACAACAACGTTTAGCTTCTGTGTTGCTGAACTTTGATTTCAGCAGCTGTAGTGCTAAAGCTATTTTTAAGCAAATGCCTTTCTGATTTTGTCTGTTAGCTCACATTGCTATATAGCACTTAGCTATTATGTTAACAATTTTAGCTGATGTGCTACCATTTTTATTAGCTATGTTGCTAYTTTTAACTCTCAGCTTATGTGTTGCTAATTTCAGCTTCTAGCAACTGTATTGCTGATTTTAGCGTCTATTCAGCTTGTTTAAATCTAAAAATGTATTCTTAATCTTTAGCCCAGTTAATTTCACTTAGCATTTAAGCTGCATTTTCACAGAAACATCAAACTATCATGTTTTTTCTAAATGCTCACGTTTAAGACTTTTTAAAGCTTGTTGTACAAACACCGACGTAAAGAGAGCTGAACACAACACTCACCACGTGCCTGAACCGCAGAGCTGTGGGAGTACCCGAGGGCCACGAGTGCCGTCTCCACCAGCTGCGTGAAGAGGACGTCTTTACGGACCAACACGAARTCGGCGTGATGGTCCCCGCGGCCCTCGCAGTCACCGGCTGACTCCGCATGCTCCACCACGCAGAACACCGGGATCATCAAACCTGGAACAACAAACCCAGTCCAAGTTATTGAAGCAGAAAGACCTGGTCCATCAGGGCTCAGGACATGGACGTTCAAGMCTTTATGTGTTAAAGGAAGAAGACAAAATCAGACTCTCTTAGACCAGTTGTGATGGTCTCCTAAAGGATTTCTCAATAAGTCCACACAAACACAGTGTTGTTCTGTGCAGTCAGTTGCTTGGTGGTCTGCTCGTACGAAGCTGCCTGTAACTCAGAAGATTATACAAGTACATTTGTGTTTGAACCACATATTAAAACCCACATGGGATCCAACTTGTTTCTAGAACCGCTGTTTAAGTGTTGCATGGAGCGCTCAGGAACAATGCCACGACTCCAGTGGTGGAACCGGTCCCCGAGCTTTAGTCTGGACTCGGGTGTTGGGCAAGCGCTCGCTGAGAGCTCCTAACTGTGGAGCTGTTCACACCCATCCAGTCCAATGGCGTGTCCCGGAGGAGTCGTTAATTAGCGAGCTATCAATCCTCCTCCTGACGAGAGCGGGACACATTGGGCCGGGCCAAACCACAGCAGCACCAGGCACGCTATCGGCCAATAACCCGACCGCTCGGTGGAAGGGCGGAGGGAGGCAGAGCAGCGGAATATAGCTGTGAGTGTGTGTGTGTGTGTGTGTGTGTGTGTGTGTGTGTGTGTGTGTGTGTGTGTGTACAGTTACAGTGCTTAAATGATGCTGATGTTTTCAGCATGAGAGAGTAACTGGCATCTCAGCATGAGTGTTTCCTGTTCTGATGGTGTCCCTGGCAGAGCCCAACATGTTGACCTCCACTTGTTTTTACACAGTTTTACACATGCAGCACTTCTGGACTTTAAGACAGTTTRAGATATAATCTAAGCCTCTGGACTGTCAATTTCTGTTCCTAAAGARGACAAACAGCTTAGTAAATCAGCTGTGTAAAAACTATTTGATGTGTACAGACTGAGCTCGTCTTTTGTCCCTCTGTATCAACACARGGGCTGCATGAAAAATAAAAGTGTCAAGCTCAGATTTAAAGTTTTATTAAAATACAAAAACATGTGGAAATGAGGAAAAACTTGAAAAGATGTTAAAACTGAAGCTAGAAATCGTTTTCATTACCTTATGAGACAATAAAAAAACACTTGTTTTGGGGTTAGAGGTTAGGTTTAGGGTAAGGGTTAGGCTATAGAAATAAATGGAAATCAATTTAAAGTCCCCATAAAGACAGAAAGATGATGAGGTGTGTGTGTAGGTACATCAACAGCTGATAAATAGTCGGAGTCATCCTGATTAAAGATGGGGGCCACAGTTCAGTTTATTGATCTTAATAACCTCAATAAGCTCAAAGTTGTGTGGTAGTAGCTGAGCATCACCTCACATGTACTCTGAGGGTTAACAGGCAGCAAGATCTGTGTAAACAGCTTATTTTCTGTGCAGTATAGATACTTTACATCCTATATACTGTGTGTATATATAGAAACAGTCTTTTGTCTTGATTTATATTCTTGCTGTAGTCTCTTGTCTCAGTTATCTTTTTCCTGCTGCAGGATGTGAAATTCCTCAGATGGGGATCAGTAAAGTGKTTTTTAATCTGGTATTTCAAGGAGACACTCTGTAGTGTCACGTTGTCCACACAATCAAGGCCCTGTCACTAATGTTTTACACAACTTATGCACACTTATGAAAATGTTATGAAGAAATTACTCATATTTGTTCACATTATGGTATCCAACAGACTTCGAGTAGATTTTTTTTCTAAATTCCACCTTCAGCGTGTACATCTTTAAGTTTCATAAACTGGCATCAGTTGCCTAAAAGGTGATAATGTGACAGGACCTCCATTAATATGCTTGAAAATTCACTTTTTTATTCTGACTTTTGAATCAAGTTCAGTTCGAGTCTCGTCAGATTGTGTGTCGAGGAGCTTCTTTGTTTTAGTTTTAGTCTATTTTCTTCTACTTGATGGTTGTTCTGAGTGATTTTCTGGAATTTATTTTATTGTGGGTTTTTGCTGTTTGTTTCTTCCCAGCTTGTTGTTTTTAAACAAGATGTTGGACTAAAATTAACACCGACGACACAAGCTTTTATTTTTGTAAAAAGAAAAGAAAAGAAAAAGAAAATCGGATTAGTTTGCTGTGATTTAAAACAAAGTGATCGCAGCCATCTTAGGTTCATGTGTTAGTTTTCTACTTTCAAATGAGAACATTTATTTTCTAAATGAGACTTTTCTGTAGAACAGAAAACAGCTTAAGTTGTCAAAWCTAGATGTTAATCTGCTTTGAATATATGTCAACAAATCTGATTTTGATAGAGTAAAACGCACCGCCATTTAAACATTCGATTTTAATGCAAAACAAAAAAAAGTTTACGTTTTTCCAGCAGCCTTTTAATGCCCTTTATAAGAAAGACGAGCTGACTTCTACAAACAGAGCTTTTCAACAATCCAGTTTGTCAGTTAAACTAAAATATGCTGAGACACGCAGCTTCAGCTTCATAAAAACGAGCTTTTATTTTGACGCCTCACCTCCTAGCGGCCTCAGCGGCGTGCTGCCGTTCTGTCGGATCGTGGGGTTCGCCGGGCTGCCGTTCACCTCCACGCGGCTCATCTTGCACTGAGGGGGGCCGCTGGAGGCCGGGCTCTCCCCCTTCGCCCCCCTCTCCTCGGGACTGGCACTGTCCTGACGCCTGGGGCTCTCCATCCCCACTCCTCCTCCTCCGCTCTGCTCCATCCCCCTGCAGACCTCCAGCGGAGCACCCAGCGTGGAGTGGGAATCTGAGAGGGAGAAAGAAAAAAAAACGTGATGAAGACTCAGAAATTAGATGTAAAATTAGTCATTTTAGCCACACATGACAAAACCGGCCTCTAGATTTATTTATCTGCTCCGTCTTTATTCATCCCCTCCTCTGGTAAAAACCAGCTAAGCCTTTTCTTTTGTTATTTACACAAAAAGGAGTCACGGACGGTCAGAGCAGACTAAATACAAACCTGTTTATTATCCTGTGTTTAGACACACAGCTGTACACAACAGGTTATAATGAGAGGCGTGTATGGAACATCAGTGAACTGTAGTTATGAGACACAAATAAATAAAGAAAACGGCGCTCTGAAGGAAAAAACAAAACAAAACATTTGAGAGGTAGTCATTTTGTAACATCTATATTTGTCCTCTTTTACACTCCTTTATTCAAAGTGTAAACCAGTGCCAGTCAGGGTGAGTCTGTAAACACACGCTTCCTCCCAAAAACACAATCATTCGCTTCTGAGTTTTACTTTTAACTTCAGAGTTTCTCCCACYCGTTTTACAGGGTCAGTTTCCAACCTGAGACTCTGGATTATATGGTTCACATCGTACACAAAACTTTAAAGATTAAGGTAGGAGTTCCCAAACTGTAGGTTGGGAACCCCTTGTGGGGGCGCAGGGGCCTGATAGGGGGCGCACAACATCTTAGTTTTTATTTATTTGAATAATAAATCAATAATAATAAGAAAAGACGGGTTACTTTTATGTTATATTAGACACTGATATCGGTATCAGGCCCGATGTACAAGTACTCATACAAAATGCTCCATTGAATGTTTACAGTTTATATTTCAAGTAAAAAAGTTTGTCAGTTCCACGATTAAGAAATTTATACAAGCTGAAAGAAAATCTTACGTTACTTTTATTTATTTTAAATGTTTCAACAGAATATATCCTGTTGTATATTTGATTTGATCCAGTCAGAGGGGCTGTAGGCCTGTAAGGAAGGAGACCCACCTTGTTCTAAATAAAATACACAAGTTTTAAAAGCCATAGTGACAAGTACCCACACCTAAGTACTTGTAGTCGTACTTGYTTTGAGAAAAACTGGGATTGGGACACCAGTTACGTCGTGTTTCCTTCAATAAGCATGTTTAAACTTAAACGTTTGACACATTGTTGTTCGGCAGTTTGAGAACCATTACAAGCCCTTCTGTTGTTCTTCTTACGAGAAGGAAGTTTAAAAAGGGGGTAAAACTTTCAAATCAAGTCCCTGAAAACATTTTTTTAAGGTTTGATCAGGTCTTATAAACAGGCTTGTTATTGATTGCCTTCGCAGGCGCAGGTGTGTTCATGTGTTCATCTGTCAACAACATACAGTACTTCAGGAAGACAAATTAGAAGATTTTYCAGATATCGAGTTTAAATTTGTCGCAGCAGGTGGGTAAGAGCTTGTATTGTTTATAATATTTTATTATTGCACGGTGGCAAATTAGAGCTGTTGCCTCTCGGTGAGAAAGTTGTTGTTTCGATGGTTTTTACAACAATTATGTTGTGAAGATGATCCGTTTCTTTAGGAGCATCAGAAACTATTAATGTTGTTGCTCACTTATAGATAATTTCAGATATTTTTTTATTTAAAACAACACAGAATCCTAAAGGTTTAATGCTTAATTTT